AAGGAAACTATGAAATCTTAATAATTTTTTTCTTATTGGGGGGACAGGGTGAGACACAAAGTTGAAATGGTCTATTTGCACCTGAATTTACAGGCCAATACCCGTGTTTTTCCCATTTGAAAAATAATTCTGTCTTACATGTGTTGGAAGACCCTCGTAAGCAGGCAAAATTAACTAAACATTTGTCATTCAAGTGCTAACTGGCAGGATAGCTTCCAGTGGGTAGGTATTTGCAAGATGAAGCAGCAGTGGACTTTTGAAGGCAAAACAGGGAAGCTGAGTACTCAGAAAGTTGCTTTGGGATGTACAGTGAATAAAAATGTAACAGAGATCTGTCCCCACTTCTCCTTGCTGCCCCCCTCGTCCCTCCCAACCACTGCCAGAAGCTCTTTTAGATTTGAGGCAAACAATATTGACATGAGTGTTTGTTCAAGGTCCAACTTGCCTACACCTTTCCTTTTGGAAGGAGGTGTCCGTGAAAAGAGACCGTCACAGCCCAAGACAACAAAAAGGAACTTTTAAGTCTGAATCTGATGCAAACTGTTTAGACAAGCTTGTGTCTGTCTTTACATCTGTTTCCCCCTTGGAAAATGTCGGTCTGTTGTTACAAGCGGTCATCTTCATGTTTTTGTACATGGGAAAACAAATCCAAACGCTGTTATATCTCTGGGTTATATCCAGAGGTATTTAATAGAGAACATAAAATACTTGGTCTCTCTTTGATTTCAAGTTTCATTGCTGGCCTTATGCCAGTAACAGGGCTGGTACAGAGCATGACTGAAGGCCAAGCCTGGAATACAACAAAGGAGGATCTGCTAAAAGTCCTTGTTTCTTCTTGTTTGCTTTTATTATGTCAAAGATTAGAAAGAGGAAAACATAGACATTGTCTGGGTCAAGCTGAACTGCAGCCCAAGGACAGAGCCCTTTCAAAATATTGTTGGGAAGCCTAAATATCCTCCAGGTTGTTGCCTGGGTTGTTGGAGTCTGCTGTTGGATACCAGTCTTTGGTAAATCCGCCAAAGGAGAGTGTAGAGTTGTTTTGTTGGAATGACCAGAAAAGATTTGAACATTAAAAGCTAAAAGGTTGTGCTGTACTGAAAGCTATCTCTTGGCTTCAGTGTTTCTCTTCTCATTCTGCAACTGCTCCATTTTCAAGTTCATATCTATAGTAGCTTACATGTTATCAAAATTCTTGGACACAAACCCTTCATGTTCATCCAGATCTGTATTTCTGGTAGTGGAGCCATTCTGTGCCATGGGAAGAGTGCTGCTACTTACGCTACATCAAGAGTTTTCCAATCGGCTAAGTGATCTTCACAGTTACATATTCAGTAAAACGTGATGCCTGAGTGTGCAGCAGTTCCTAGTAAAGAATCAAAATTTATGAAAGGTTTCACATCGGCTACCATATTTGTTCCTGTGAAGCTAACAGAATTGATTTTTTTTCTTATTGTAATTTCCTGTTGTGGGGAATTGGTATTAAGGTTTGGATTTCAAATTTATTTATTTATTTTAGTTAGTTTCTGTGCATAGGTATTGGAACTCTTTCTTTTGCATGTGCTGGTGTGAGGTGTGGGAGATGGGGAAGGTGTTGGCAGTGCACATGCCCCAGGGGAGGCTGGGTGATTTGCTTCGGGGATCCTGGTGCAACTTGATGGTTCTGTTTTTGAATGCAGAGTTAATGCTTTGTGATGGAAATCCAAGCAGCACAATACCGGAGAAGAGATGTAGAGTTGTAAGGACTGGAGTGCATTTTGATGCTCCTGTCCGCTAAACAGCTTCAACAGTTAACCACTAGCTGTGTTCAAATAGAGAGGCCCTATACAAATACATTGACCTTGTTCTGCATTGACAGACTGCTTTGCTTTAAAGGGGAGGCCGTTTCTGGATGCAGTTAAAATGAGAGATCTGTAGCCCGTCCCCAGATTAGCTCTAGGAGACACTTACTTCAGGTCCCAGTCCTTTCCTTTATTCACATGATGCAGATCTTCACTGCCCTGCTGGCAGTCTCTGAGTTTTGCCATTCCTGTGCCCTCTGGCTGTCCGAGTACCTAAGCCTGTAAATGGAGAAGAGCTGAAGAATAGCACCTGAAATAGGTTTGATGCTGAGAAATTTCCTTGTTTTATAAAGAAAGCTCCTGTTCAGGCTCCTGTGTGTGTGTGTGAAGGGGCTGTCGCCTTACACTCAGCGTAGTTCTTCTTGACATTAGAGTAGTTTAAGTCCTCCAGACTCTAAATGGCTTCTGGAAAACAGCCCCCACCTCCTTCATCTTCATCTGTTATTTCATGTTTGCCTTACAGAGCTTTCTGGAGGCTCCTTAAGGCAACAGGGTGAGAAATCAGTCACTGGAAAGTCAGCTAAGATGCTCGCTTCTGTTGACACGTTGCCTGGTGTAGAATGGCCTTGGGATCGTGCCTTCATTCCTGTTAAACTTCATTATGCTGTGTCAAGCTTATTGCTTGGATGATCTTTTAATATGGTTTAGAGCTATTATCGTTATAAATAAAGCACTGTGAAGTTCCTTACAGAAAGCATAAAAAAGCAAGACTCCCTTTGGAAATACTTAGAGTAACATGAGCCAAAATAACAAGTAGAACACACCTAACCCAGGGAAGTGAGGATAGTCCTCAATGCCGAGATGAGCATCAGGAGGATTTGGGAAGGTGCACAAGAAGCTAGGAGAGGGAAAAATCATTCCCTTCTTGGAGGGGAGTGAAGGGGATGGAGGCCACAGGCAGGTCAAATGTATGTGTGAGGGGAAGGATTAGTATGTACAGAGTAAGGGCTGGGCCAGGATGTGGAGCTTGAATTCAAGGTGGAACCAGAGACTGGTTGAGGCGGAGGGATGGTCACCACAGTGTGAAAGGAAGAGCTAGTACACGCATCAGAAACACCGCAGGACGTTTGCTGTCAGATCTCTGCTGAGGTCACGTTTCAGAGCTGTGGCTTGCTCAGTCTGGTTACTGTGCGTGCTTACCCACCACCCCAGCGGGGCATTGGCTGGCTGTCATGCGCTCATCCTCTCCGTGTGCACGCTGTGGTAGCTCCCTGTCTTTTAAGCTGAGGCACAGAGGGGCTAAAAGAGCTGTCTTGTTACACTTTAGATATGTTGAGATACTTGAGTACAGTTTCATGATCAGCAAGTTTAAGCTAATGCCCTAATCACTGGATCATCCTAGCTCAACAAGGTGTCTTCTAGCAGCTGCGTAAAAGAGCACATACGCATAGATACACATAGGTGTTTAAGATGCGTTAGGTAGTAAGATACTCTCTCTCTTAAAAAAAAAAAAAAAAAATAAAAATCTCTTCTGTATTTGAAAGCTGATGGCTCTGCTTGAGACTCCAGAAGTACTGGGGGCAGGAGACTCATGGAAACTGTTGTCTCTGTGTTCTGGGTATTAATGACTTGAAGTGAACCCAGCTTCTGCTCCAGTGAGCCGAAGAGGCTTTTTATCCAGGCTACGCTGCAAGGGTGAGACAGCAGCTGGGTCTGACAGTCTTGATGACTGACTGTGCAAAAGGCTCTGTCCCTTACTTTTCCCAAGTAGCAGCAAGGTTGAGCATATCGTTGGGGAATTCACTCTTTGTATTCTGCAGGGATTATTAAATACATCAGACACATGTATTGCCGCTCATGCCCTGTGAAGGAAAGCTACTTGTGTGCTCTCGGTGATGCAGTGGGTTCATTAAACCCCAATGCGGATCCTCTTAGCCTCAAAAGAATAATCCCTTTTTAGCAAGCCATCAGTTCAGACTATGCAGTCAGCAGAAAGCAACAGTTTGCCGGTGCTAGGAGGAGTGGGGAGAGGGTCTGCTTCCCCAGTCAATATCTGAAGTGAAATCACTTGCTGGGAACAGATGATGCCATTCTTTTCTCTCCAGCTCAGTATCCAGCAAAGTGCATCTCCTGGGGCCACCTCATCGTACTTCTAAGTATCTTTTGGACTATGTTTTGTTCTCTGAAGTAACCAACTTAAGGAAGTAGGACTTCATGGAAGTCCACTACTTGCAGGAGCATTTACCATGCATTTGCATGAGTGGATTTCAGTGAGTGGAAGTGTAAAGATGGCTTTGGGAAGTTAGGTAAAACAAAGGGAGATGCTAACTTTGGAAACGTTTGTCTGACTTTGCATAGGGTAAGATGGCTACTTGTTTGTCCCATTGACTTTATGGGGCCAGGTTGTGGCAATGATGAAGGAACTCAGCTTGTGTTCTGAGAAACAGAAGGAAGTTCTGTTGGATTTGCAAGGGCAATACCTGGCAGCTGTGTCTGTGTTCATGGCCAAGACGCAGTAGTGCAGTCATGACCTCAGGGAATGGGGAATTGAGTTCCCAGGATGAAGATCCATGAGAACATTAACTTTGCTTTGTTTTTGTAGTCAGGAGAGGAGAGTATGAACTTAGAGCAAGATAGATGCTTTCAAAACTCAGTGAAGACACAGTGAAGCAGCAATCTCGTCAGCTCTGCCAGAAAAAATTCCAGCCCTTATCATCCAGCTCTTAACACTGTCTTCAGCCCAGCTAGAGGACAGCAATAATAACGTTAAAGAACCCAGATGTCGTTCTGAGCTTAGTTCAGACAGTTATGATGTTCACGTGCAGTAATTCAATGCAAGGCTGACCCCAAGATAGCAGTGTGTCATCTTTCTTCTCCTAATTGCTTTTCTCAGCCCTGCTCACAGCTGTTACTGCGGCACTTTGCCACTGGCTGCCTTCTGAGTTGATGTGGTTACAGCACAGGTTTCACTGCTGGTGGTGAGTCCACAGGAGAAATTTGCCATCCTAAAACAGTTAGCTGTCACATTTGTGTTTGTTACAGATGTCAGTGTCTAGACTGGTGACTTGCTGCATTGCCAATGTCCGTTTGCCTTCCCTTGAAGAGAGGCTGGACACTGTGGTTTTTAACGTTGTCTGTTCTCTTCCCATCTCACTGTTTTTCCACACTCTTCAGCCAACCTAATGCCTTTTTCTTTCTTTTTCTTATGTGTTTGTTTTGCAGGAGTATATTGATGCTCATCCAGAAACCATTATCCTGGACCCTCTTCCAGCTATCCGTACGCTTCTGGACCGATCCAAGTCGTATGAGCTAATTCGGCAAATAGAGGCATACATGCAAGGTAGGCCAATACCTGCTCTCCCTGAAGGCTTTTATTGTGACTCTAGAGAAGGAAGCAGCTGGCTTCTGGAGGCTGGATGTGAGGTTTGAAGTGGTGGTTTTGGGCCCCTTGCATTCTGTCTCTCCATGGGAGCACAAACACTGAAGCATTCCTGTGTTACAGGATTGCCCTTTGGAATGCCGTGCTCTTCTTTTTCCATGTATACAAAGGAGGTTTGCATCTGGTTAAAAATATGATGTGGATTTAATGGGGAGCATACTTACTACAGTGAGCACTCCCAGAAATCTTCTGGAAAACATTGTCTTTTTGTGCGTGCTGGTAAACTGAAATGACTGTACAAACTTAGCAGCTTGTCATAAGAATCCTGAGGCCTGAATGTGGGGGTGATTTATGGAAGAAGAAAAATTGGTTTTGGAAGGGACTGAAAGAAATTAAATTGTAAGTAGAGCTAAGATCTTTGAGAAGCACTAGAAGCCTGTTGCACAGTTAATTGCTAGGAGGAACATAAATGCACTTCTGGTGTTGGCTAGTTACCTGACACAGAGCGTTGCCTTTATTTGGCATCATTTGAGTTGTATTCCCACATTTAGAAGTCATGCCTCTTCAACCTGAATAATTCTAGTATCTTATCATTTTAACCTTGTAACTGTTGGGTTAAGTTAGTTTTTCGTTCCCTTTCTACTTCTGTTATTGTCATAGTCTTGAAACATTTATTGGCCTTTGAGTTTAAATCCAGAGTAGCTCTTAAATAACTGTTTCATGTTAGATGACTATACTTGGGGGAAATTGCGTCGCTGAACTATGCTCTAATGGGGTGTTATTGGAATTAGCATTGTGATTGTGTTATCACTATCTTTATGGGCAGAAGCTCATCAATTTGTATTTTCATAGTTGTGGATTTATAGACATACTGTTTGCATCTGACCTGCCTGACCCCACCAGCAGTGTCTATGTAAAAATAAGACTAATAATTCACAGCACTCTCCCTTGTCTTTTAGAATCTCTTTAGGAGAAAAAGTTCAATTAGTTTAAAAGGATTTTATTTTGGAGTGGTTATTGCTGTTTGTGAGTGGGAGAGAGGTGCTGAGGGAAACCTGTGCTCTGAGGAAATGGATTGGGATTTTGTTCTAACAGTGGAGAGATTCAGTAGGGTTTGTTTGGTTTTTTTTTTCCCCTAAATTGCTATAGGTATTATTATTGTTATCTCTTGAGAACGTTATGTTCAGAAGAGCATCCAGTTTTTGCAAGTAGTTTGTCTTGTGTGCATTTCAGCCTCCTCTGGTCAAACTGATGAGAAAAAGGAATAAATGCTTAAGGAGGAAAAAGAAAACATTGGGTTTGTATTCAGTTAAAACTGACACTTTAAAGAGAAGCTGTTAATAAAATTGAGGAATGCAGTAAGGAAAAGCTTCACCTGTTCTCACTGGCCGCTGCAGTATTAGGTGACCATATTTCCCCTGTCCCTGTGTCCCCCCATCTCATCTTATTTCTGTCTCATCATCAGAAATATCATGACAGAGACCTTGAACCACCTTTGTTTCTAGCAGGGGAAATCTCAGGAGAGCTGAGTAATTGGCTAACTTCTTGTTCTGGCCTAAGTAGATCAGCCTCTGTATTCCCGCACGTAATGATTGCAGTGAGAAATTCAGGAGACCAAAAAAGTTACATCCCTCTAGACTGTGGTGGGTTTTTTTCCCCCTCCTTGTTTTCACCTGCTAAATTGTGTTTTCTGCTTTGCAGCTGTCATGTCATAGCCCAAAGCCCTGAGCGCTTAGAAAACTCAAACAAGAAGTAATACATCTGTGAATAGCATGAGGTCTTAAGAGCCACATCATTTTTGTTCTGGAATTTCAAAATGGAAGTCACTAACAAGAAAATAGTATCCTAGTCTCTTTAGCTGTAAGTAGCGATTCCAGTTTATCACAGGGTACAAAATCGATGTGATGAGTTAAGCTCAGCGCAAGGGATGATCTCTTCCAAAGGAATGCCATAAACTCTGGAGGGTTGAGTATGTGTATAAGGAGAAATCTTCTGCTTTTGAAATTCTTTCAAAAGAAAATTCAGTGTTCGTTTACAGACTAGTTTTGGATTCAGGTGATCATTATCTTTTTTGAAGTTTTTTAAAGTAGCTATAAATGAAGTATAGTCTTTATTTATGATCTTCAGTTTGCACTTGGTTTCAACCCTGTAGACCTTACAAGAACTGTATAACTGAAGATTGGCACAAGTTGTGTTAAAGAGAGGATGACCATGTGCTCTGCTGACTCCAGTTTGTACGGTGCTGAATCCTCTTCCCTCTGCGTTGCCTGCACCTTTGAAAATGGCAGCTGTTGCTGAGGTGACTGCGTTCTGCAGCAGTAGGGCCCCATGTTCTATTAACAGCTTGACTTTAAATGTAATTATCTTTCAGGCATCCAAGTTAATGCCTTGCCTGTCCTTTTGACAGTGAATTCTCTGTGCTTCCTGAAAAAAGGAATCCCTATTTGAAGAGTATAAAACTGGGCATCTGGACATAGTTAGGCTTTCTGAAAGTCCTGTAGCTTGCTCTTTATTTAGTCGAGTGTCTGAGTGAGAAGTACTTTGATCCAGCCTCATGAGAATGGGTTGGAAAGACGCTTTGTGGCACACTACTTGTCTCTGCTACCGCAGTCTGTGGCCACTAAAGGAACTGAGGTGGAGGAGAGCTAGTAACTCAGCAAGAGGTGTACATGCAGTCGAGGGGAAAGCATGGGGTTGAACCTGGAGTTTCCATGTCCTAGACTGACACTGTAACCACTCAGTCCTTGTGGAAATACGAGGCTCACAGATTTGCAGAATCATTGAGGTTGGAAGAGACCTCTTGAGATCATGTAGTCCAACTCCCTGCTCAAAGCAGGATCCTCTAGAGCAGGTTCCTCAGGTCCATGTCCAGTTGGGTGTTGTACACCTGCATGGGTGGAGACTGCACAACCTCTCTGGGCAGCCTGCTCCAGGATTCACCTTGAACTAGCAGTTGCTGAAGTGACTTGCAGAGATTGTTATTTTCTTCAGTATAGATAGTGATATCCCCCTTGGAAGGAAGTGGGACTCTATTCTTAAACAAAAAAAAAAAAAAGGCTTTAAGAGATATTTTAGTATTGATTTTTAAGAGATTCTTTTTTGGAAGCAATAGTCTGGCCAGGGCTGTGACTTCCTCTTTTTCCTGTTCTCTGTTATTTTGAGTGCAAGCTCTAAAAGAGCTAGTCATTCCGAAACCTTCATTTCTGAGTCTTTTTTTTTGAAAAAGACTTGAAAAAATAAAGGTTGCATTCCCAACTTGTGTCCTACATAGCTGGCAGGTCTATCTTGAAATAAATCACTGAATAGATTTTTTGGTATAGCAGTTGAGTTCTCTCAGCAGCTGTATTGCTTTGTTTACTTATCTGTGAAGAATTGCTTCTGATAGAAAAGTGCTCTAGATCAGGTTCTGTAATGTTTGGTGAAAGATTAGGAGCATTATTTAACGGAAATTTCATTTTTAGCAGGGTATTGTGTGGTTGGAGCTGCGTCAGCCTTTTTTAACTTTTAACCTTATGAAAAATAACTAAATTCGCTGATGCGGTGTTGGAAAGCTGTGATCCTACAGCCTCAGAATTCAAGATCTGATTTTAAAACTATGCTTGAAATGGTAATAGATAATCACTGTGACTAGGCACTAACTAACCGTTTTACATTACATTTTTAGTTTGAAGATTAAAAGCTTTTAAAATTCCCTACATTACCTTACAAGTAATAATCTACACTGAAGGAATTTAAACCAAAACTGAGGTAAACATGCTACTTACTCAGTGCTCTACCTCGTTAGTGTTCCCATCTGCCAGTCAGCTTCCTTTGCTGTCTCGAGTGACATACAGGTTTTTTTGATAATGTTTGAACTTCAGATATTGCAGACCCTGGAGTTCATTTCTTTAACCACTTCCACCTGGCTTTTTTCCATGATTTTAAAATCTTCTTGTTCTTAGATTCTTAAACTTAACTCCAAATCTAAAATGTCTGCAGAAACTAGTCTTTGCGGCGTTCCCTAGAAGAGAAGACTCCTGCACGAGCCAAGCTGCAACTCCTGAATTTCTCTCTCTCCTGACAGCCTTTTTGGAAGTACAGGAACTATTCCCTCGGGACACTCTAAACAGTATAAAACCATTTAGCTGTGCTATTTTCATCCCAGCATGTAATCGAAATCATTTATGTTTGATTGTTTACTATTATATCAGATGCTGTTGCTGCTGTGTGCACTCCTTTCTGATTTTGGGGAATATTACGGAACAGATCATGGCATCCTTCTCTTTTCCCTAGATTTCTTTTTATCAGATTCTGTCTGTCTGAGAAATACTCCTTGAACAGCTGCATGTAGCTTTTGTGACTAGGAGAGAGGTTCAGCATGATGTAACGTGTAAGGCGCTCGATTTGGGGCTCTGGGTTTTCTGCTTGGCGCTGGTTCTGACTTGCTGCATGACCTTGGGCACAGCATGTCACCCCTGTGTGTCTCTCTCTTCTCTTGACACTCATCTGCCTGTCTCTTCCCTTCAGATGCCACATTCTTCTGGGCAGGAACCTCTTTTCCAGATATACATACACATACTCTGATATAGTGAGTCTGATGCCAAGCAATCTGTGTAGGTATTGTTCTAACAGAAATTGCAGATCTGTTGTTGAGTAGAAAACTGAGTATTTACAATTCAATGCCAAAGTAGGTAGTCTGGTTTTATTTTTTGAAGTTATGGAGCATGTACGTTGCTGGAGTGGTAGATACTCAGAAGTTCTCAAAATCAGGCCACCCAGTTAAAAGTGCCTGAAAATAGCTGTATATACATAGCTCTAGGCATTCACCTTTTGAAACTGTGGACGCTACTCTCTGTGGCCGACTTTCCATAGCAGTTTTGGTCAGAGGGGAGAGGGAAGAATAGTCGCACAGGTCAGATTCAGGCACCTGTATCTGTGTTTGAAGCTGCTATTATAATGAAAGAAAAAATCTGGTTTTAATT